TGTACCCATGGTAGCTGTCGTTGAGGGTTTAGCTGTAGACAGTGTTGCAGTAGTCATGCCTGTACTAAATGGTGACAGAGATCCATCAGTTGAAGTCCCCTGTGTACCAGAAGTAGAGGTAGATGAGATAATTACTGGTGTGGCTGTGCTCTCTGTAGAAACGGTGTGTGTGGAAGGGACGCTTGGTGTCCTGTGTGTGGTTGTCAGAGTGGGAGATGCTACAGAATCTGTGGTAGAGGTCCTGGCTGTTTCTGTGGTTGGGAAATTTGAAGCAGTGTGTGTAATTGAGGTGCTAGGTGTTGATGTGTCCTTGGCTGTCGTTACAGAGGTGATTTCAGGTATGGAACTGGTCACAGTCGTGCTTGGAGAATTAGAGCCTGTGGTCAGAGATGCAGGTGCAGATGTGGCCGTAGTCATAAGGAGTGTGGGCATTGGAGTAGTGCTTGTAGCTTCTGCACTTGGAACGGGTGAAGAAGAAAGAAGCGTATGTGTGGGGGATGTAAATATGTCAGTGGACACGGGAGCAGGGGTGGTGGCTGTAGTAAAATGAACAGTGCTCCTGGGAGTGGATGATGAGGTGACTGGGGACACAGAGGAAATTTCCACAGTGACTGTGTCTAAGGAGGTGTTCCTGGTAGGAGTAAGTGTAGACATCTGGATAGATGTGGTATCTGATGTTGGAATGGTCATCCTGCTTGTTTCTGTTGTTGGTGCAGCAGATGAAGGTTGTAGCGCAGTTGTGGAGGTTGTGAACATATTGGTGGAACCAGATAAAGGGGTGGTTTTTGTGTGCAGTGTGCTTGTGATGGTTGTGAATGGGTAGACGCTTGCTGTGGAGTCTGTCCTGGTACTGCTGGGAAATGTTGACGAAGAGAGGGCAGAAGTAACAGGGAAAGTTGTAGTGAAGGAAAGATTAGAAGTACTCTCTGTACTTGCAAGTGTAGTCATCAGAGTGGGCACTATCGCAGACGGGGTGCCAACACTGAATGTTGTGTCCATGTTTGGGCCTGTGGTACTGGGGGGAACCACGGTGGATGGTGTCTTCACCACCGTCGTTGTAGAAGTAGAAGAGGTGGTGGCTGATGTTTCTTTCTCTATAGTGCTCCTTGTGGTTGTCACTGTCTTTTCTATCCCACTAGTGGTGGTGTAAGCGCTGGTAAGGGTCACTTGTGTCATTGTCATACAGGTGGTAGTAGGGTACGTTGTGGTGATCATGAGGCTTGTTGAGAGAATGCATTCAGTAGTGGGTGTGTAGACAATGATGGTAGGTGGAGTGGTTTCTACCTTCATGACAATATTTGACAAAGGTGTGTTGGAACTGGTTGGAGATTTGAACAATGTTTCCAAAGTGGGCTTAGAGTTGGGGGATACGGTGGTAGTAACATGTGTGCTTTTCCTAGTACCCGGAGTGGTAGAAGGGGCTGGTGGGGTGTTGAGTGGCACCCCTGCTTTAAAGCGTGGGAAATTGCTGAAGGCAGTGGGAGCTGCTTCTGCATTCGACAAAAGTACATTAAAGTTGGGCGAGGCCATGGATAAAGTCCCCGTATTGGCTGTAGAAGAAAGGAATTCATAGGCAGTTTTGTAGGCCAGGTTTTCACCATACAACACATTGGGTTTCCCTTAGCCCATTTCCCTAAATGGGCTCTAGCTGATTCTCCCATCAGAGGCAATTTGGAGCTGGGGGCTTTGAGTTCTGAAGTCCCCCATCTGCCAGCTCCTGGGACCTCTTCTCAAAGAAGAGAGGTGGGAAGAATCCTCAATGTCTTGCTCAGTCTTGTCTTGCTCAGGCTGGCTGCCCCCCCTGCTCTAGAATGGCCTAGCTGAGGGTAGAGGATCAATGGACACTTGCCACCATGCACATTCCTCTTCCTCAGCACACCTCATGTCAGTCTTCTTCTGTTCCATTTATCTGCCTGAAATTCTCTCAGTCCTCCTGGCCCTTTGTCCCCACTCTTTGACCCAACTCTGTCTCTTCTCAGTGACCTGCCGCTGTCTGCGCTGACTGTTCTGCAGAGACAGACCCTGGTCAGAACCAGGACCATAGACAGAGGCTGAAGATCACTTGGGGAGAGGGGACCAGAGATCAGAGTGTGAGAGAATGGGTGTTAAACCCAGAGGATAATTTGAGGGTGCAGACCAGGAGATCAAAGAGTCAGAGAGGAGAGTGGTACATGGAGAACACTAGAGAGGCCTGGGCTCTATTGACATTGAGAATCATAAAGAGAGGACCCAGGTGAGAGTCTGAGGGACAGACAGAGAAGGAAACTTCTAGAAAGGGATACTTCCACAGCCAGTCATGAAATTTAGTGACCTTAAGGTTTAGAAGTGAGTGTTAATAATAAAAATAGATATATTTAATGCCTGCCACCTATTCTGTTTCAGCCATGGGTTCATTGATTTATCAACATAAACCCCCTTGTGCTTTAGATACCACAGGCACCATTAATCGAGGTGAGACTTGGGGTCAGTTATGCTGAGTGGGAAGTGCTGAGTATGTGGGAAGACTCCCGTAGCCATAGGTCTTGTGAGCTCTTCCACCTCCCCGGGACACTGTACAAATTTCCTCTGAAAGCTGGGGTTTCACCTCTCAGCCCAGCTCTGGAGTGTAAAAGATGTCTAGTGAAAAGGTAAACTGTGGGCCTCTAGCCCGGGAAAGTTTGGGATTGGGGCTTGGGAGCAGACACTGGGAAGCAGTGGGAAGGGCAACAGAGGTTCCAGTGGTCTCAGACCTACCCTTTGGGAGCAAAGTCTTTAGGACCCTTATCCCAACCCTACTGACAACAGCCGTGCCCAAAGTAAGGGTTGGGGAAGTTTGGAACAGAGCAATGAGGTGGGGGTGGGGGTACTGGGGAAACAAAGTCAGTGAAACCCAAGAGATAGGAGGTAAACCAGAAGTGAGACTAGACTGGGGCTGGCAGAAGGTAGTACTGGTGGAAATGAAGGGAGGGGTAGAGAGGTGACACAGGGGATGAGAAAGTGAGGGGCAAGAGAGAGTTGGGGAGCTCAGGAAATGGTGTTGGGGAGAGGGTTCTCCTGTGAAGAGTAGTGCCTACCCTCCTGAAAGTGAGTGCAGGTCCCTGTAAGCTGCTTAGTCTTCAGCCAGCACTGTCTAGGACATCTGTGCCTTCTCCTCCCCTGCCTCAATTCTCCCAGCACCCACAGCTCTGAAGGACTCCTCCTCAGCCTTCCCATAGCCTCAGAGCCATCCTCCCCAACCCTTCCTTGCACATCACCAGGGTCTCGCCAGCCTCCCTCTCTCATCTTTTTCCCCCTGTTCCTTACCTGTGGCTCCTGGAGAGGCCCTGAGCATCCAGAGGAGACCAAGGAACGTAAGGAGTTGCATGGACCTGGTGGGCCTGGTAGGCAAAAAGGGCTGATGCCAGCAAGGAAGGTAGCAGCAGGGAGACAGTTGCGGTGTTCACAGCAACCTCAGCTTCAACAGAAAGTGGTACTTATTTCCCCTGCTGGGTGTGGGGGCTGAGCACACCTTCTACCTTTGCACCGTCCTACCTTACTCCTCTTCTTCCTTCCCACTGAATCCAGACTTCCACTGTGAGAAGGGAGGGCACTAAAAAAAAAAAAAAAGATAAGGCAAGCCCAGGAGGTGTCAGGCAGGGAGACCTGCTGTTCACCTGGGAGAAACTCCCAGGTTGCTCTTCCCCTCCCCCCAGGAACTAGCAACAGGCTGAAAACTGACTAAGAATACATTTAGCCTTGGACTCTGGAATCTAGCTACTATTCTCACCTCTTCTCTTTAGTGTTAGTTCCACCTGGGGGTGAGAACCTCTCTCTTTCCTTGCTTAGCCCAGACAAAGCTGTGGAAACAGCACAAAAGTCATGTTAATATGCAAAGTCAGGGACAGTCCCAGAAAAGAAGATGGATGGCCAATAGAAACAACCAAGCAGAAATCCTACTTTTGACCCATAAATCACTGACTTGAGAGTAGACATGCAGTAACTCAGATGAAGGGAAAGGCAGTGTAAAATAAAGGGAAGACAGCACATGGCCAATGAAAGGCAGAGGGAATCATTGGGAGGTGCACGAGAGTAAAAGACAACAGATGTAAATACCACTATATACACAGTTCTGCAATAATTGTAAGAACAAACAACATCTGCAAGTAGATACATAGATAGACATGCAACTATATATAGGGCTGGCAGAGGATGTTTCTACATATTCCATTATCTTTTTATTCCATTTTTCCCCACACAGTTTTGGAAGCCCCTCACGTATGTGCAACATACATATCCAGGAATGATATAAAGCACACAGGGGGATAAGTTCTGAAATACCTTGAGAAACTGAGACACTGGGTTTGAGGACTTAGGACCACAATCTCAGGGGAGATCGAGGTCAGTTGGTCTAACATAGTCTACATCCCACTTTAGTGAGTAGCAACTGGGATCTTAAAAGCTTGCAAGTGGTCATCTAAGATGCAGTGACTACTGGTTTCTCCTCGACTGGAACAAAGAAGAGTGAAGAAAATCAATGACTCAAAGGAAATGCTCTAAAGGATTCATGGACCACACAAACCACAGTCTCTGCTACCCTGAGACCAGAAGAACGATATGGTGCCCAGTTATCACAATTGATCACTCTGATCAGGATCACTATAGAAGGTCCTGGACAGAAAGGGAGATGGAAAACAGAACAAAATTCAAACTCATAAAAAAGACCAGACTTACTGGTCTGATGGAGACTGCTGGAACCTCCAAGACTGTGGTGCTAAGACACTCTTCAAGCTTGGAACTGAACCCATCCTCAGGGACCAACTCTCAGCAAAACAATAGATAGAACTATCAAGTGAATAAAAATAACAAATAGTAATAATGTGCTCCTCAGGACAAGTGACTACAGGAGACAAAAAAGGCAGCATGTCCAAAAATAAAGCTCAGAAAGCAGAGCTCAGACGGCAGGAAGGGACAGGAAAGAAGAACGAATGAAAATGAGAAGTCCAAGGAAGAAGTGAGAAAAATACCTTTACCTTGTGTGGATTGCAACCAATGTTCCAAAGCAAAATGTGTATAATTTGGAGGAACAAACAAGATAGCAGATTGGGTGGAAGTGCAGTAAGGAGCTCTGTCAGCAACAACACAGAATACAGGACCAACAGTCTCAGGGGATGGTCCCAGAACTCTGAACCACATATAAAGGAATATTTACAAGGTTGGAAGACTTACAGATAGGGGTATTTGTAGCAGAAGCAAGAAATTCATTGTTTTCTAATTCAAGACACTCAGCTGCTTCAGGAGCCACCATCTTGGATGAAACCAAGCAGGGGAAGGATCAGAGCAGCCATGGACACCTGACAGAACCACAGAGATAAAGGTGTGGACATTCTTTGCTTTTGGTGTCTGTTCATTGGTCTCTTGCTGTCTGTGCACCTCCATTCTGGTGATTATAGGGGTGCGTGAGCTAATGGACATCCCAGCCCCACCCTCGGAGGTTCTATTAGGCGTGCGCTCAGATCTCGAAATTTAAAGAGACCATTTCCACTTAAAACCAAACGGCCACAGCCAGCCCTGAACTGTTTATAACTAGAAAAAAAGTCCTGAACAGGGATTGTGGAGCAGGACAGGCAGACAAAAAAGGAACTAGGCCAAAAATTAAATCCTAAGTTACGTCAAAACGACCAACAGTGGCATCCTGAAATTTCTCAAGAAGAGTGAAAATGGAAGCCCATTTCCTGATCACATCTACCTGGAGGCAATCAGAAAGCATAAAAAGTACCAAAAAAGGCAGATGACCAAATCTGGACATGTCCAGAATTGAGATAAAGTGACTGAGGCAAATGAACTGGAAGTAGATCATCACTCCATACTGGAAGATGCTTTGGAAATGCCCAAGAAGGAATTTAGAAAAATAGTTATAAAATGTATCAAAACACTATACAACGGAGTTGAGAAAAATAAGGAAGAAGTCAGGAAAGTGTTACAGGACCAATCAAATAAGATAGATACAGCATTGGAAACAATTCAAAACC